TGTAAGATTAAAATATCACATGTTATTGAAATTATAATATAATTATTGCATTTTTATTATATGAGTATTATTTTCCCGATATTTTTTTTGGAATATATTTTCCTAAGATTAGCAAAAAGCTTAATTAGGAAAATATTTTTAAAATTAAAACGATTAGGACACATAAGAGTAATGCAATTTGACCATATTGAATTTTTCTGACTCAGTTAATCTATCATAGCCAAATTACTGATCTACCCTTTTCCATTGCAGCAGGCGGCACGAGGCGTTGACTGCAGTGATGATTGGGTTTGGGTGCGGTCATGTACATTTAGGAAAGGCTGAGCTACGCACGTGTATATGGCAGATTCTTCATCCCGTCAGCCGTGTTTTATTTTTGGCAATAATTTACTAATTTTTTACCAAAATTTAATAAGAGTTTGATATCTTGTAATTTAATCTAACTGAATCATAAAATGGAAACTGATTTAAGGATGGTTTTTTAATTTATATTATTTTTTATATAATTTTATATATCATTTAAATAATTAATTTTTTATTTATTTAAGACTTGTAATATTATGTGTATTTACTTATTTAATTATATATAAAATTTATATAAAAAATTATATAAAAAAATTATCTTATATCACCATCTTTACAAAATATTAGTCATTAAATAATAGGTACTTTTCAATATTAAAAGAGTACTTCTTAATTTAATAATTAATATTTTATAATCTGAACAACAAATTAAATACCTTATAATATATTAGATTTAGCAAAATTGCACCTAATATAAAGGTTTGACCGTACCATATGTTATGGATAAGGTTATGGGTTTAAAATATTAATCCAAAATTTGATATGATTTAGATCAAAATTATTTTGACTCAACTAAGTTGGATAAATGCATGTTACGTTTTGTTACGTCAATAGGAAGTGGCCTAATTAAAATTAATTAATTTTTAAAATTAAAATATTAATTAATTAAACGTTTAATGTTAGTTTTTAAATATAAAATAAAATTAAATAATAAAAATTAGTTATTATTTATTAGATTATTATTGTTAAGTTTAATTTAATAGATATTTTCAACTAAATAATTAAATAATATTAAATTTTTTAAAAGAAAAATAAAAAAATATATATTAAAAATTTTAATTTTAATTTTAATCTTTTAAAAAGTTAGATCTAATGAATTTAGTTTAAAACATATATGAATAGGTCATGGACATATTCTTGCCAACCTGTAACTTAAAATAACTGAATTTGATAAACTCAAATTTTAAAATGACTTGATTGACTCTGTTTGCTAGATCAACCATCTAATAATAACCACTCCATCTAATAATAACCACTTAATATTCAACGAATGAATATGTGTTGAATTATATGTCCAA